CCTAGGATATCAATCTTTATGTGTTCCATTTCATTTTTGACAACTTCCAATTTTCCTAGATTCATACTTCATACATTCCATGTTCCAGTTATTAATGGATGTCTGCAGCTGTTTCTTCTCAATTTGAGTTGTGTCACGTCAGCACGTGGAGGTCCCGAAAGATTTACTTTATCCATATCATTAAGGTTGGTTCTACTCTAATGAGGTAGTCTTTCCAGTCCTATTTTGGTGCCTTCCAAACCAAGTGGTTCTTTTTCCTGCACTGTGTCAGACAGTGTTTCCAGGCTATTCATAAAGTTGCCCAGCAATGTATCAGACAGTTCTTCTCTGCTATTCATAGGGTTTTCCCTGGCCAGTTTTTGAGAAGTGGATGGCCTCTTCCTTATTCCTAGTCTGTCCCAGCCTGTAAGCTGTGTTGCAACCTGTGCACCACGGGCAACCCTTGCTAGTGTTTGAAACAACGGTGTCATGACCTCAAGCCTCACAACAATGTGCAAGCCCCACAGGATGACAAACTGACAGACGAGTTTGTCTCCCTTAGCTATTGGAAACCTTTCTGCCCTCCCCTTACCTAATTCCTGCCTGGATCCTGCCACTTGATGGTTCCCGGTGCTCCCTCCCTTTCCTGCCTCTGGGAAGGTGGGTCCAGCCTCCTGTCCCTTACCTGAATCCTGCCACTTTTGTGGTCCCCAGCTGTCCCTCCCTTTCCTACCTCTGGGGGGTGGGTCCTGCCTTCTGCCTGTTACCTGGAGTTAATACTGCTATTATTCAAATTTACATCCCAACCACTAAAGCCAAAGATGAAGAAATTGAAGATTTTTATCAACTTCTGCAGCCTGAAATTGACAATCAAGATGTAGTGGTACTGGTGATTGGAATGTGAAAGCTGGAAACAAAGAAGAATCATCAGTAGCTGGAAAATATGGCCTTGGTGATAGAAATGATGCCAGAGATCACATGATAGAACTTTGCAAGACCAGTGACTTATTCATTGCAAATACCTTTTTTTCCAGCAACATAAACAGCAGCTATGCACATGGACCTTGCCAGATGGAATACACAGGAATCACAGGCTTATTGATTTCCTTGGTTATATAGATTAACTTGAGGAGAATTGATGTATTTACTCTTTTGAATCTTCCAAACTTTCCAATCCCTGAACATGGTGTATCTTTTACTTATTTAAGTATTCTCTCATTTTTTTCATCAGAATTTTGTAGTTTTCAGCATACAGACCTTATACATGTTTTACTGACTTATACCTAAGTATTGCCTCAGCACTGGATCAGTAAGCAGTATTGTGATAAATAGAGAAAATAATGACGTTGTCAAGGATTTCATTTTACTTGGATCAACAATCTGTGTCCATGGAAGCAGTAGTCAAGAAATCAAATGGTGTATTGCATTGGGCAGATGAGCTGGAAAAGACCTTTAAAATCTTAAAAAGCATAGATGGCATTTTGAGGACTAAGATGCACCTGACCCAAGCCACTGTATTTTCAATTGTTGTACTTTCATGAGCATGTGAAAGCTGGACTGTGAATAAGGAAGACTGAAGAAGAATTGAAACTGCATATACCACAGACTGCCAGAAGAATGAACACATCTTTCTCAGAGGAAGGGCAGCCAGAATGCTGCTCAGAAGCAAGGATGGTGAGACTTTGTGTTATTTACTTTGGACATGTTATCAGGAGGACCAATCCCTGGAGAAGGACATCATGCTTGGTAAAGTAGAGGGTCAGTGGAAAAGAGGAAGACCCTCAACGAGATGGATTGACACAGTGGCTGCAATAATGGGAGCATACATACCTACTGTTGTGAGGATGGCTCTGTACTGGACAGTGTTTCATTCTGTTATGCATAAGGTCACTCACTGTGAGAGCTGACATGACAGCAACTAACACCAACACCAAATTTGTATTTTAGAGTTATTATAAATGGTATTAAAAAATTTTTGGTTTCTACACGTTCATTGCTAATATATAGAAATACAGTTGATTTTGTGTTTGATATTATATCGTAAACCTTTGCTAAATTAATGTATTAGTGCTAAGACAGTATCTTTTTTTTCAGATTATATTGGATTTTATGTGTAGATACTCATGTCATCTACAAATAGTGTAATTCCTTTTCAATCTGTATGTTTTTTTTTTTTTTTTTATGTTGTTGTTGCCTTATTGGATGTCGAACAGTGACTTTTTGCAATTTGGGTGGAAATTTACAGAGCAAATCAGTTTTCTGTTCAGCAATTCATACACATTTGTTTCATGTCATTGATTGCAATCCGCTCAATGTAACATCATTCATCCCCTTCCTCCCTGTGTTTCTCATTTCCATTCCTCCTTTCCTAAACCTTCCTTCAGAATTTTGTGGGCAAATGATGCCTTTTTTTATCTCAAATGGTTGTTTGTTCTAAGGCATGTGTACCTCCCTAATGTTATTATTCACCTTGTAGACCAGCCTATTGATTGGCTGAAAATTGAGCCATGGGGGTGAGTTCAGTTCTAGGTCTGAAGGGTGACTAAGGGCCATAGTTTCAAGGGTTCCACCAGTCTGTATCTAAACAGTAAGGTGGTCTTTTTTATGATTTTGAGTTTTGTTCCACATTTTTTCTCCCAGTCTGTCCAGGACCTTCTAATGTGATCTGTTTCAGAGCAGTTGGTAGTGGTAACTGAGTACCATCTAGTTCTTTTGGTGTCAGGGTGATGGAAACTGAGGTTCACATGGTCCATTAGTCTTCTGGACTAACTGTTTTTGTGTGTCTTTGATTTTCTTCATTTTATTTCTTTTTCTTGCCTTCTTGCACTGTATAAGACTTCCATTAGATGTTGAGTAGGGAAAAGACCAGATTTTGATGGTAAGACCATGGATTTGGCTTTTGGCCTTGATTGTCATTAAGAGAGACATTTATTTAGAAGTTTGATTTCAGGCCTTTTTCTTAATTATAAAACATGACATTTTCTAGAGTAAATACATTTTCTGTTTTCCATTTTGAGATTTCATCCTATTGTATATTCACAGGCTACAGTTTCTTCTGTTAAAGGAATTATAATATTACTGAAGAGCCAAGTGGAAGAAGGGAGTGATCCTCTGGATGCCTCAGCCTCTGATGGTGTTGGTGAAGAGTTCATTTCTGATGATAGGTATATTTACATAAAAACAGAGCACTCTTCTATTTGGAGCCAAGACCAAGAGATACATACTCAGTTTGCCAGGTAAGAAATCTTTATTTGTTCCTTCAAATTTTAGATAGGTAGATAGTTAGATAAAGAGCTCTGGTGGTGCAGTGTGTAAGGCATTTTGCTGCTAACCAGAAGGTTAGTGGTTCAAACCCACCACCCACTCCACAGAAGGAAGACTGGGCAATCTACTTCTGTAAAGATTTACCACCTTGGAAACCCAAAGGTGGTTGCTATGAGTTGGAATTGACTCAATGTCATTCAGTTTGTTTTGTATTTGAGATAGCTAGATACCAAAAAAACAAACCCATTGTCATCAAGTCGATTCTGACAAAATAAATGAGGGCTAGAACTGGTAGCAAGGATCGTGGAGCTGGCGCGGGATAGGGTGGTGTTTCATTCTGCTATGCATGGGGTTGCTATGAGTCAGAAACGACTCGATGGCACTTAACAAGAACTGGTAGGGACACCCAGGAGGTGGCAGCAGGTGGCTTTTGGAGGGCTAGAACTGGTAGGGAATGCCAGAAAGCAGGAATGGAGCAGTTTGGAACAGCTAAGGGAGACAAATTTTCTGTCATTTTGTTGTCCTGTGGTGGCTTGTGTGTTGCTGTGAGGCTGGAGGCTGTGCCACCAGTGTTCCAAGTGCCAACAGAGTTAGCCATGGTGGACAGGTTTCAGCAGAGCTTCCAGCCTAAGACAGACTTGGAAGAAGGAAGAGGCCATCCACTTCTCAAAGAATTGGCTAGTGAAAACCTTATGAATAGCGGTGAAACGCAGTCTGGTATTTTACGGAAAAATAGCCCTGAAACATTGTCTGATATAGTGCCAGAGGATAAGCCCCTTGAATCGGAAGGCACGCAAAATATGACTAGGAAAGCGCTGCCTCCTCAGAACAGAGCCAACCCTAATGGTGTAGATAGAGTAAAGCTTTCAGGATCTCCTTTTGCTGACGTGGCACAACTCAAGAAGAAACAACTACAAATATCCATTAATAATTGGAACATAGAATGTACGAAATGTGAATCTAGGAAAATTGGAAGTTGTCAAAAATAAAATGGAAAGCATAAAGATTGATATCCTAGGCATTAGTGACCTGAAATGGACTAGTTTTGGCCCTTTAGAATCAGACAAGCATATGATCTACTGTGCTGGAAATGACAAATTGAAGAGGAATGGTGT